CACACACACACACACACACACACACGTGCATGTACACAACTATATTAACAAAGGTTTTTACTAGCCGCCATTATAATTGATTGTAGTGTTTTATAACTCAATAATTGAACTAGAGACAATATAGCAATACACACTTTAGGATAAGCATCAGTGACCGACTAGCCTTTAATATTATTTTTAGGACACACCTCGAGACTTTAATATTAGGCCTGTAATACGTTGTTCATGCAGAAATTTGCAATACCACGTACATATGCTAATTACGTGGATAATGAACGAACTCGTAGCTTTTTCCTTTAGAAGTATGGACAATTTTTTCCCACTATGTCATATATTTAAATAATACGTAATCTATACACGTACCATAGCATGTGTAATATAAAATCATCATAATAAATATTATTGTTAAACATAATATTATTAAATATATTCTCATGTTGACAGCGATAATACGTCACTTATTTGAACTAAAAACTGTAATAGTACCTGGCAAGAATGCTATCAAAAAGATGCACTTCCGGTTTTTGGTCTCTTCCGGTTATCCGTTCACTTTCAAATCGTTGTTTGTGTCGTCAAGACGTTGCGTCGAGAGATCTTACACAGAGAGTAAAGGATTGACTTCCATTCAGTTCCCTATCGATTGTATGCAGTTTTTGATTCTGGAAACTCAGTAGCTGTTTCAGAGGTATGTTGATTATATTTTATTTGAGTATTTAATAATGCATTATGACTTTTTATGTCAGGCGTGCCCTCGGACCCAGCAGACATTAAAATGAGACAACAACAAAGAAGGCGCATAGATATGATAATATATCTAGATCTAGATGTAGATCTAGAATCTAGTAGGAATAGGGGGCCTCATGTCTAGTCTAGATCTAGGTAAGATTGTACTTTACCGGACCACCGGTCGGAACTACTTTCGCTGTGGCGCCCCTAGTGCCTAGTGGCCCGCTGTTCTTCGTTTCCGAGCTCCCTAAGAGTGTGTTGTGTTGTTGGGCTTGGTCTAGATCTAGATATTAGAAGATTTGGCACTATTTCGGTAGTTCCCACCCCGCAATTGTTATTCACGGGTTTTGGCCCCAAGAGTAGGGGGTTTCAGGGGGGCTTGCCCCCCTGACCTAACAAAAAATAGGGCATGCCCCCCTGAATTTTACCACAATTTAATGTTTTGCTGTTGTTAGGTTTGATATCTTAGCTCACCGCGAATCAAGCGTATGGATCTAGAAGTAGGTCAGGCTCAAATAAGGGGGGTGGGAACTACCGAAAAAGCACCAAGATTCTACATAAAATAATATTTTCCCGAACGTTCGGATAAATAGAGCCTAGTCTAGTGGACTTAGGACTTAGGCACATGCGATTAAAAGTAGAAAGACGCAAACTATTTTTAGGTAAGGCGCCCATCTTGTTTGACGTCAGACCAGGATACCCCCTCCGATCACGTGACTACATCTAAGAATAGACAACCGCATGGCACCAAAGGTGGAAGTGTCTATCATGTATACAATGTTTAATCTACATTCAACACCTCTCTCTCTCGGAAGTTTTGATAGCTGATTTGATAGCACGTCTGCGTTTGATGTCATGCAATGACCTTTGAAGCGGTTCGATTCCGGTCCCGGACAGTTTTTTTTCCGAAGTGTATACAGACTCGGTAACCGGGAACTAAGTCACGAAGTATACAGACTCGCTAGGGGAACTCTTTTGTGATTTCGGAAAGTTTCAGCGCCCAGACCCGGTAGTGTGTGTGTGTGAGAGAGAGAGAGAAATAGAGAGGGTGACTGCTCGATTGAAACTATGACATTGTTGTTATCTTCAAATTGTGATTCCTCCAACTCCAAAACGGAGGAAAAACGATCGTTCATCGGAAAGACATCCGCAATCTTCATTTAGATCTCGATCTAGATCTATGCTAGCCTCGAAACTAGATCAATGATTTTTGTCTGTCTGTCTAGATCGAGACCTAGGCCATAGATCTAGAAGAACCTGGGTCTACCCTGAGCCAAGAGGGCGCTGAAACTTTCTGAAACCACAAAAGAGTTCCCCTACCGGGTCTGTATACTTTGTGACTTTGTTCACGGTTATCGGATCTGTATACACTCCCTTTTTTTTTCTCTTTTCCTCCTCCCGACTGACCAACAGTTCCATAAATTATAGGCTAGATCTAGGCCTAATTTGTAGGGTTACTTTGAAGTTGTTGTTTTTTTAAAAATGTGTTAGTGATTAAAAATGCAGGAGAGGGGGGGGGTTGGTAGATCTGCGTCTTTACGGCAATTTTCGTGCGGTCTATTATGTCCAAGTAGGCCTACTAGATCGATCTAGATCTAGGAAATCCAAAATGTTACCGAAAACACGTCGTTCCATGTGGGTATCCCAGGAAGTGATGACATCACATTACTAAAATTAGCAGCCAATCAGAAAGATACGTCATTTCTACGTTTAACGGCATGTTGGTTAGGCTACCGGACTCGTAATCGTGAGATTGCGGGTTCGAGCCTCAGCTCGGTCCGATGTGTCCTTGGGAAAGGCACTTTACACGAACTTTCCTCTTGGCTCGGTCCTATCGGAGACAGACGTTAAATTAGGAGGTCCTGCCTCTTAAATAACCTAATAGTGTTGATAGGGGCGTTAAAATCATACCATTTCTCCATTTTTCTGAGAAATACTAACTTCGAAAAAAACCCGAAAGTTCACGAATGCAGAATACCGAGCACATACAGGCTAGATCTACTCACAATCACGAAAGAGCTCCACAATTTACTCGGCGCGTCAATTGTCACCGCATCACTCGGTGGCAATTGACACTACCTATTTTTTTCCTCATTGTGTGGCCATTTCACCATGGCATGACAACAAAAGCGAGGGCAAGGGTTTTTTTACTCGCCTCCCTTTTTTTGTTTCCGGTGCCGGGACCATTTCTCCCGAAAAGTGCAAAAAAAAAAAAAGGCCTACACATGAAGCTACAGCGAGCACCTCTCTGATTTGCTCAAATATCGATGACATATTTCCGCCATCTCTTTTTGTTGTCTCCCAGGGCTTCCCTCATCAGTTGATAAGAAATATATAGATTTCACCGTGGTGGGATTGCTTTGCCGCTTAGCGCACGATGGGCTATGTCAGTAGGTTTCATCACCAACATTGCTTGGGCTGTGTATGTGTGTACAAAACTCGGAGGAGATAAATTTATGGAGCGAGAATTGCTGAGATATTGTTTATAAAAGATTACACAAGTTGTTTAAAGCCATAATTAACAAACACAGCGAGATCTGGTCAGCTGTTAATGGCGAGGGGAACCCATCAAGAGTCTTGGGGGAAACTCCGGAAGACGACAAAAATAGATGGCGTAAAGGTGCTCGACGTACCTTCGTGTAAAAAATACCAATTTAGATCTAGATCTATCTTCTTGAATAGATATATCGCGATATAGATCTATTTACGATTAAAGGAATGGAGGGCTGTTAGATTGAGAAAATGGATGGTCGCCAAAGTTTGGTGACATCCATTCATTTGCTTGAAGAGTAGGCCTACTTTTGGAAAGCAAAAATTTACGTTCTTTGTCCCTTTCAGCAATTTTCAGTAATTTCTACGCAAAAATGTTTTTCTAAATCGGCATTAAAAAAGATTTTGAGCCAGAAAACAATGATTCAATAAAGATTGCCAAGCCAGAACTAGAGGAGGAAAAATGCCGATTCTTTTCAATTTATTGTTTTGACGAGCGCCTGATTTCACCACGATGCCCCACCTATTAACAATAAATTGTGGATTATTTAATTATTATTTTTTGCCCAGGGAGTGGGAGTTCCAGTACTGATTTTCTGCTAAGCCCGTTAGCCAGGACAGAAGTCTCATGTTTCAGTGTTATTGGAAGGACTTCCTTCCATTACTAGCGACCACAATGAAATCTAGAATAATCCTAACATAAACCCTAAACCTAAAGCCTAACTCCAGACCCAAGGAACCCCATATAAATAACTTAAGGTTGCCCTAGCAACTCTATCCCTAGCTCTTCTAAATCCAAGCCTACCCGTAAACCTTAAGTTTAGGTTAAACCTAGCACTAACAGTACTTGTACTGTGTAAATCTAACCCTGAACTTTAAACTTTAAAAACTCCTTAGATTCATGTCGCAGGTAGCACCCCCCCCCCCCCCCCCCCCCAGATATTTTGATGGCCATTGATTATTATTATTAAAATGTAGATTTCATTGGGGTCGTTCGGTACAGACTTCCTCCTGTATTACTGGACTTGTATAGTCTTGTCTCTAGATTTAGCCCACCCATGATATTCAGACCGTGTGTTTTACAAGATAATATCAATGATAACGTTAGTTTTCATGTTATTATTTTACTTTCACTCCAATCTCATGCTCACCAGTTATTTATGTATGCCTTTTTCTTGTTTATTTTTGTCCATTTTACATGAATATTGACTTTATAGCCTTATCATTATAAATTTATTTTTTATTTTTTAATATTGTGGAATCAGGCGTATGTCAATTTTTGGGTACATATATTGCTATCCTCTTAAAGCTTGTTTTTGTCTTACTTTCGATCTTTAAAAAAAGGTAACGTCAATTGCCACCGAGTGACGCCGTGGCAATTGACAAAAATTGACTTTTTGTCAATTGCCACCGAGTGACGCGGTGTCAAGTCTCAAAACAACACTATCTTTAGCAATACATAATGTGTGTCTAATGGGTCAATTTGTTCTCAACTAATTTCATTGGACGAGCATCTAGTCTAGAGCTACGGTACCAACTTGGCGTGTTTTCAATTAGACGTAGGCCTAGATGTAGGCTAGCCTTAGCCTACACTTTGGTGTAGAACCAACACAGGCAATTCCAGAAGTAGAAGGTCACAAATGCACACAAACTCAAGTAGAAAATCCCGTTATATCGGGGAACATAAATCGGGGGGGCGGGGGTCAGGGAAATGCACACACACAAACACAAACACAGACAGCACAACACAGAGCACTCAAGCACAATAAGCTAGATCTACCCACCAACGCAAAAGAGCTCCCAATTTACTCGGTGGCAAAAAAATTTTGACAAAAAGTCAATTTTTGTCAATTGCTACCGCGTCACTCAGTGGCAATTGACACTACCTTTAAAAATACCAGAGATTCGAGATATTTGCGAATGAAGGAGATGGGGGTTGCCTGGTTTGAGAGGTAAAAGTAGTGAGAACAATAACAGCCTAAGTTTAGTTATTTCCATAGCCTATAGCCTGGGGATATGGGAAAATCTACTTCTTTTTTTTTTACCTATAGGTCACAGTTTTTCAGTAAAATCCACGCAAATATGCTCTTAGATGGACATTTTAAAAAAAGGTTTTGAGCCGACGAACAAAAGTTCTGTAAAAAATGCCAGTTTCTTCACTTTCATTATTTTGACGAGTCCCTGATTTCACCATGCAGCCTCACATTTGATCGTTTGATTCTAACTATATTACATTTTAAGTCTTATTATTGCGTAGTAATTTTGGACCAATCCCATGGTTTCAGTATCGGGGGGCATACTCAGTTTCTCTTCCTATTTTCCTTCTAATGCTAGCTGCTGAAACGGTCACTTAAAAAGGCTTCCGCTTGTACAATGGTAGATTTTTAACTTTCATATTTCATTTAAAAAAATAATTATTTTAAACATTTTTCGTGAAAGTCTGTTACGTTTGATTTTTTCTTGTTTTTTCAGGTTTCTTTGTGACAGAGATATATCTGCTTTTTCCTGTTCAAGATGAAGATTGCTGTTGAAGGCTGTTGCCATGGTGAGCTGGATGCCATCTACGAGACTTTGGCTAGTCTGGAGAAGGAGAACAATTTCAAGGTATGCCTTCCTGGCTGTCTTGTTGTGTGTAACGATTATTTATTTTGCTTTTATTACCTGAGTAGAGTTCTGGTTTTAGACAACTTATGCGCTGAATAAAAAAAATATAGTTATTAGTAATTCAAGGAAGTAGGGAAATTGTCAATTTCTAAAAGAATTTTTTGAATATCGGATGTCTTGTTCATTTCGGTCGTTGCGTTCCCATTGAACCCCCCACCCCCATTAATTTTCCATCTTGTGCAAGCAATGCAAGAGTAACTGTGGTTTTAAACTTTATGTGTATCTTCTTATAAATAAAGAATGACTCATCACTTGTCGGATAACATCAATGAACTTTTAATGATTCAACGGGGTTACAAGTGATGACGACATCAACTGAAATGAAATGGAAAACACAAGACGGGGATGTAGAACGGAATGAAATGATGAGTGATCGCACTGACAAATGAATCTAGACCTGCATGCATGAGTCCCCGAGGGGCGCAGAGTGATGAAGATGATGATAGAGCATGAACTGATGAATAACACTAATAATACAGCTATAATAAAGGGCAACACTGATACCAATGAATAAACCTCCTCCTATTTGGTGACTCCTATAATATGATGGTTCTTTTTTTTTTTTTTTTCCAGATTGATCTCCTCCTGGTCTGTGGTGATTTCCAGTCGGTACGGAATTACAGTGACCTCGAGGCCATGGCTGTCCCACCGAAGTACCAGCAGCTGCAGACTTTCTATAAGTGAGTATCTGGTTGCTTTTTTTAAATTGCAGTTTGCTTTTATGTTTTATTAAAGTATATTGGGAAGGGTGTTAGGGACTTCTCACATGCACACACTAGGGCTACATGACATGTTTTGTGAGCTTCTTTGTAAGATGTTGAACTTGAAATAGATAAATCAACTTGTAGTGTATGGAAGCAGAGAAGAAGCTTTTGTGTGAAAATATTTCTTTTATGTTTTCAGCAAGAATTTTGGATGCACACCACAGTTGTTGTAGGGGGGGGTGACTAAAAAACAGGGTTCAGTTTTAAATTTAGAAAGGCATGTTCAAAACTCAAAATCTGCCTAGTAGGTCTATTCTAAGTGGTCCGCAGTTCTGCTCAGTTACAGTTAAGCTTCATTTTGCACATTGCAGAATGCAGCCTTCATCAGTCTCTACTTGCTGTCTTTGTTATCTTCTGTTTTGTTGTCTTATTTATTGTTTGGGGATTTGACTGGACATTTCAATATAAATATAAACATTTTTCTCCCAGGTACTACAGTGGAGAGAAGAAGGCTCCAGTGTTGACCATCTTCATCGGAGGCAACCACGAAGCCTCTAACTACCTTCAGGAGCTTTCCTATGGAGGTTGGGTCGCCCCCAATATTTACTACCTCGGTAAGTTATATACAAGTGTTTTTTACTTTGAGACATTTTGATAATTTATTCAGAAACTTGAAACTTTAGTTTCTCGATGTTATTGTTGGAGTTTGTTGATTAAATCGTTAAGGCACTGGATGCCGGTTCATGGGTACTTGTTTCCAAATTGTTCTGAAATTGTGATGTTCGTGTAAGGGTTTTTTAAGGAAAGATGTTAAATATTTACCCTGCCTTGTTCAAAATAAATGCAAATGATGCCCTTCCTCGTTCCTCCAATTAAATTATCTTTTAGTCCACAGGCCTCGTACTTCAATCCTATCCTGCTGATCACATAACTTGAAAATGATGTAGAACTGGCTAATGTTTTGTAACAAGTGCATAACATACATTTGTCCTTTCTCTTTTCCCTAGGCTATGCTGGTGTGGTGCAGGTGGGCGGTGTGAGGATCGGTGGGGTCTCTGGCATCTACAAGAGCCACGACTTCTACAAGGGTCACTTTGAGCGACCGCCGTACTCCAACGACACCAAGCGCAGTGTGTACCACGTTCGCAATCTGGAAGTGTTTCGGCTGAAGCAGCTGATCAGACCCCTGGACATCTTCATGTCCCATGACTGGCCTCAAGGGATTTACTACCACGGGGACACGGACAACCTCATCAGGATGAAGCCTTTCTTCAAGTGAGTTACATGGTTTTTCTACTTTTCATATATGTACGAAGTTATGATAATTTGGAGGGGTAGTGTACTGAAATTTTGTCCTGTCAGTTCATCCTGCTCGACTTTCAAACTCTCACTCTGTGGGGGGTTTGCAGGTGCTCTGGTGTGGTTTGCTCCTTTTTTCCTATAAAAAAATCTCTATCTCCCCTCCTTTTTTGTATTTGTTACTCTCTTGTAACACCTCTAATCTTCAGCACTTATATGGCCTTATTGTGTTGCAAGTGCTGTAAAATACCTACTACGACTTTTTTTTAAAACTCGCTCTGTTGTGCCTTTGTCCATTCAGTTCTTTGTTGTTAGTTTAGTGCAGTCTGAGCTATTTCTCTGTACACTTTCTTTTAAATAACATTCGTCGTGTTTATTTAGGGTTTTTGTTCTGTTTCATCTCTTGAATTTCTGTGAACAACAGCGTTGTGATAAGCCAAATAGTGCTTGGAAAGGCTTTTCATGCTAATTTCGGTTTTAATAGAGTTCTTGATAATTTCTTCCATTATATATGGTATAGGTTAATAGAGTTGGTGTGAGGGCTAAGATTTAGTTTGAACTTTTTCCACTCATAAATTGAAATTAAAATAGTTCCTAGAGCTCACCAGCCTTTGGCATACACTGTAGAGGGCGCTCTAGATCCACTTGCAATTTTTTTGTTCAGCCCATGCAAGCTAACTAGTTCTTTATTGTTTGGATGTCTATTTAAATTAGAATACTTTCGAACTTGCTCTTACAGCCACCTCTATACATGACGGTCACCTGTACAAATGGCCACTTCCATATCTCTTCCCCCCCCCCCCCCCCCCCCCCCCTTTTTTTAAAAAATAAAAAATAATTTTATGCTGCAATGACACTGTAAGATGTCCACCTTATCTAAGAGAAATACTCTTCTCCTCTACAATGGGTGGCCGTCATAGATAATTTTGACTGTACAGACATAGCAACCTTGCAATACTTTGTTCATGTGGGTTATTAGATTCAGAGTGAAATGATTTTCCACGGTCTGTGCTTTAACTCGCCTAATTTCTCTTCTTTCTCTTTTCAATTTTCCTTTCTTTGAATTGTTCCCCCTTCTGATCAGTCTCATTTTCTTTTTGACTCTTCCTCCTGTCTTTCAAATTCAAACACAATGTCATTTATTATGTTTTCAGGAAGGAGATTGAGGATGACACTCTAGGGTCACGGCCTTTGGGTGAACTGCTCACTCACCTTAAGCCGACCTATTGGTTCGCTGCTCATCTACACGTCAAGTTTGCTGCCCATGTTCTGCATCAGGTTAGTTGTTTGAATATCTCTATGACCTATGACTTAAGGTTGAGAGACAGAAGTTTTTTGTGGCCCAGTGATGACTGTTTTCAGGTTTGTGGAAATTGTTGTCAGGAAGGGAATCATTTTTAAAGTTGGATACTCTTCTCCTTTTAATCTGCTCAAAGTGAAATGGATTGTTAAATCTCCACGACATGTTGACAGCTTAAAAGTTTCATCAATTCCCATATTCTGCATTCCAAGGAAAGGAGATTGGAATTCGGGCAATAACTTTTGCTTCTATTTTTAAAAAACACTAAAAAATTTATTTTTTTTACCTGTTTTTGATTGATTGTGAAATTATTTCTTGATGATTGAACTGTGTTTAAAGTGTGATTTTATAAATATTTTTTTCTTCTTCCTTTCTTTGTTACCTTTTGTAGCAGACAGACCCGTCCACTCCTGCAAAGACCACCAAGTTCTTAGCCTTGGACAAGTGTTTGCCCAGGCGCGGTTTCCTTCAGGTGGGTGTTTCCTTGTGTCAGTCATTGTTAAGATATGTGAAGACTTATTGTCACTGTATGTAACTGGGGATTTAATTACCCCCCCCCCCCCCAACTTTCTGTACTTCGGTCTATACCCTGTGGGCAATTGGTTCGGTTTCTTCTAGAGGTCTGACTTGTGTTATTTTTGTAGATAATTTTGTATTTGTTTTCTCCGATGTAATATATTCATTTTCATTAGTGTCCTGGAAATTACCTTCTTTTTTAGAACACATTCTTTACCTTGAGAGTACAAGTAGTTTGCTGTAGTTGAAGAGTCTCCATCTTATTTTTTAAAAATTGTCTTTAATCTCTGCTTGTTTCCAGCCCCCCTTATAATCCATGTGTGTCTGTAAGCTGCTCCCTAATTAAATTGCCGTCGGCACATATTCGTTTATGAGTTTGAGCCATCACTGATTTGCCAATATTGCTTGTATAATGTAATTGCATTGGAGCATGTTCCATCAATCAACTCTCCTAACTTGTGATTTCACAGGTGCTAGATGTCCCTCACAAGGAGTCGGAGGGTTTGAAGATCAAACTGGACCCTGAGTGGCTAACCGTTCTGCGCACCACTAACCATCTGCTCAAACTGACCCCAACCAACACGTACATGCCCGGACCTGGAGGTGCTGAGAGGTATGTACAGTCTGCTTTGCTTTTTCTCTGTTGGATTTGTGTCCTTCATTATTACGATTTTATATTATATCCCTGTCTGTTGTCATGGATGACTCTTTGGGACATTGTTAGTAAGTCTCTCTCTCTCTCTCTCTCTCTCTCTCTCTCTCTCTCTCTCTCTCTCTCTCTCTCTCTCTCTCTCTCTCTCTCTCTCTCTCTCTCTCTCCCTCCCTCTCTCTCTCTCCCTCCCTCCCTCCCTCTCCCTCCCTCCCTCCCTCCCTCCCTCCCTCCCTCCCTCCCCCCCTCCCTCCCTCCCCAGCAGTAGTTTTGCATCTCATTCAATAGATCCCAGATTTGTAGCCTGACAGTGATTAAAGATAGGGTAGGTAAGATCTAAGACCTAGCCTTCTCGGATAAGGGTGAAAAATCTAGGAGGTCTCATGTGCTAGTTACCCATGTTAAAGATCCCTGTGTGGTCTTAAGATTCAAAATTAATTCCTACCAAACTGAAAATGGCTTATTGATAATTTGTCCCACTCGCTCATATGACCTTATGCAGTTGTGAGCGCTGTAAAACACTTACCAAAAAAAGAAAAAAGAAATCATTTGGCTGTTCTCTTTGAATGAATGAAGGTATAAGATTTGCAGTTATGAATTGTGAGACGTTGAAGTTGACAAGTGTAAAGTTTTTAATTAAATAGTAAGTCTCTATTCATCACTGTTTTTCTTGTAGCTCGTTCACCTTTCTTTTTTTATCTTTATTTGTTTAGCACCATTGAAATCTTAAAGCTTGATAGCCAAATAAGAAAAACAAAATGCTGAAAAATAATGAAAGAAAATGAGTCTTAATGGTATTATTTTTCCCCTTCTGATTCCAGGTACAATTTTGAAGCTGATGACAAGGATCTGAAAGAGACGGTCGATTTATTTGGAGGTGATCTTACTCTTCCTGAGAAAGGTTTTGTCACAACCACGCCTCCTCTTGTCGGCACTCCAAACCCCCGCAGCGGAAGAACCCCTCTCAAGGTGGTGGTGAACCCTCAAACTTCACTTCTCTGCACCATGCTGGATCTTACAGACCCCATGGCCTCATTCCTGGGCAAGAGTTCGGAGGAGCTCCTGGAGAAAAGTTTTGGACCCATCTCTGCATTTGGTGGCGGAAGTGATGAAATGGATGACGACAACGATGATGATGAAGCCAACGAGAGCTCTGCTGAGATGCCAAGCTACATTGACAGCAGTATGGAGGTCTCCTCTACCTCATTCTCGAATGTCTCTGAAGTTGCCAAAGAAACGCCACAGCTTTCTAAATCGCAAAGTTTGTCTTCAGTTCTGCCACCACCCCGCGCTGTGCAGCCTTCAGACGTCAGAGTGGATGACGACGATGAAGAATTCTTGTCGATTTTGTCTGCTCAGAAAAAAGCGAGCCCCGTCAAGGCGCTCTCTGCCCCAGCCTATGTGTCTTCCTCCACGTCCGGTGACACTGACATGAAGATGGCTACGGCTTTGTCTCACCAACGTTCCACTGGGGACAGCGCCAACTCAACTAGTCCCGAAAGTTCGACCACGGCCAGCGGATTGGGTTTGTCCTCTGCTCAACAACTTCCTTCGACCGACAGAGACAGTGGTGTTTGTTCCCACTCGTCCCCTACAGCGTCTCTCTCGTCTTCTTCGGATGCAGTCCCCTCATTGGGACAGAAGGCCTCCAGTTTTGGTATGTCTTCCCTGCGCCTTGATTCGACAGACTCCTCGTCTAATCTGTCCTCTCACTCAGGTGTGTCGTCATCCCCGTCAACCCCCTCGCCAGCTAACAGAAAGAGAGACAGCGGTGAGGGTGAGATTACTGGCAGCGCTGTGACCTCTTCGCCTGTCGTTAGTGGCTCTGCAAGCAAGAGGTTAAAAAGAAGAAACATTTCTGCTTATGCTGACCCTGTGTAAGACACTTACGACATAAGGGTTCAGCCCATGTGTGGATCCTTTTGGCTGCCAGGAGTGACATATAGGATGGAACTGGCTGCTGTGTGGGAATCCTTCATCCTGTTGGTTCAGCTGATAGGAAAATGTGACCGTTTCAGATGGTTGCGACATACCGGTTCATCCCATGGAAATGTGTGGACCCTTTTGCTCGCCAGAAGTGACATACAGGATGGAACTGGCTGCTGTGGGGGAATCCTTCATCCTGTTGGTTCTGCTGATAGGAAAATGTGACCCTATTAGATTTCAGACGGTTGCGACATACAGGTTCAGTCCATGGAAATGTGTGGGCCGGGCCCCTTTGGCTGTCAGATGACAATTATAGGATCGAGCTGGCGGCTGTGTGGGAATCTGTCGTCCAGTTGGTTCTGCTGAAAGGAACATATGACCCTGGTTAAGATGGTTGCGACATATGGGGTCAGCACATTGACCTGTGTGGAGTATGGGATCGGAACTGGCGGCTGTGTGAGAATCTTTCGACCTACTGCTTCAGCTGGTAGGTACACGAGAGCCTATTTGGCTGCTCCTCAACCATATTTGAGTCAGTGACACTACTCCTTGAAATGGTAGAACAAATATGGCAGTCGATTTTGAGGCCTGTGTGAGTCTCTGAAGACTGTTTCATCACTAAGAGTATTTATCATGTCACTGGCCATTGCCCTCTTCGGATCAGTACTGAAAAACTCAGATTCACGGCACTAATCAGGTCAACATGGATACTATGTTCAACTTGCCCTCTTGCCTTTTTTTTTTTGGTGGACTCCAGAACAATGGCTTCTAGAAATGCCCAGCAGCAATAATATTGCATCGCCTTTTAACCAGATGCTTTGGTGGTGGTGATGAAAAAGGTAGGTTTGTCATTTCAGACGGAAATGATTATTGAGAGGACAGTGATGCAGACAGTACCAACAAAACAGATTTAGAGACTGGTGTTGGTTGTCAGCATGTCAACAGCAGCAGCTGGTGTGGACTATGACACTGGTTGAAGTGAAAATGATTGAAAATGTGACTGAGTGGGGGGAAAAGACACTACTTCATGATTTGAGGCAACTACTGGGCCGACTTTTGTCAAATTAGGTGACAATGTAGGAGGCTCTATTTTTGTATTTATTTGATGGCAAGATTCTTTTGCACTGTGGTTGTTGAATTAAGCCTTTATGCTTCACGGCTTAGTTCTGGGTAAATTAGATGGTAGGCTAATCAAAAGCAAGTAAAAAAAATCCAACAAGGCTAAGATTTTGGAAGGTTTTAATAACTGCGGCAGAGAATATTTATTTGATTGTGGGGTGGGGGGGGGGGTTAGACAAAATGACTTCTGAGTTCAGATATTCATCCCTAATTTATTTATTTATTTTTGGTTGTATAAACTCTACAAAAATGTGAATAGACCTGCATGTTTGCCCACAATCGTCTGAAATCCGACCCTCGACCCGGCCTGTGCTATCGCTAGGCCCGCCTGTATTAGTCAACGTGCGAAGTGCGAGGACTGGCCAATCGCCAGCGCCCCCTATTTCTATGGTCGGCTTTGTCTGCACTTACCATTTCATGTCGACTTCCGACGTCAGCTTTTCCGACATAAAATTCTGTCGGAACCTGAGAGTACAAAAAAGGAGGACAGCGTAAATTAGATCTACTTTCAGTTTCATGCTCGAGCGGCCATTTTGAATTTCGTCTGTTGACCGATTGTTCGGATGTGGATTCATTCAAGGCTTACTCACTTGTTCTACTAGTTCTAGATTTATACAGAGTGAGATCACTATAGACCTCTATGGAGGATTCCTATTCCAATTCTATTGTGTCAAACCCATTAAAAGGTCATGCTGTAATGTTAATAATAATGATGGTAAAAGTGCATTTCATCGGGTGCGTAAATTAATTGACTCAGCTGAGTCCCTCTCTTTGGATGCGGATTTAGTTCAAGAAGGCCTAATCCTCTATTCACTTGCTCTTCTAGATCTAGATTACTGTATGGAAGATTCATATATTCTAATTCTATGTTGTTATTCAAACCCTAAGCAATGTAGGCCATGCAGGATCTTGGGGGGGGGGGGGGGTTGTGTGGTGTGCACCAAATTTTCAGACAATCCGCTTGAGGCTCACATGCAGGTCTAATCTGAAGCATAAAATGTATTTTTTCAACAAAGCTATATATGTTGATTTGTCTACATTAACTCTTTATCTCCGGCAAGCCACTCCCAGCGGCTCACAGTCGGAACCGCCGTGCCGGTGAGCCGCTGACAGCGCCTCGGGCACGTTCCTTTACGGCGACTTCAACATTGAATTAATTTACGGCAATTGCCTAAAACAGATCCATCAGGATTTCATTCATAGATGAACCATCAAAATAGGTTCATTTGTTTTGATTTAATGACCAATTTAGTGACGCTTTTGTCATTTTTAGATTTAGTACCACAAAAGGGCCCTGGCATAGTGGGTTTCCCCCCGTCAGAGATAAAGAGAAGCTCATACATTGCTAAGCAAACTTGGTTCATCGATCATACCTTTTGAAACTGTATTTTTTTGTGTGCACGGTGCACATACTTACTCCCTTGCTTAATGGGAAACACAAAATGTAATGTGGCGTCTGATGTGAGAGAAAATTAGTAGTTAAAGGCAACAGCATTGTACTGATATTATTCTGTGGCAGGATTTTACTTTTATAGTACAGCTTTTTTTTTTATAGAACTTAGTAAATTCTTTGAAAATAATGTATTAATAGTTTGGCACGCTTTATTCAAACACGGGGTGGGGTCAATAGGGAATATTAAAAAGATAATAGCCAGGGAATGGCAAATTATTATATATGATGAGCTGCTATCGACGATTTCGAGTTTTCCATGTTTGAGTAAATCTCTATGCCTGACTGTAGCTAAAGAGAAAATCTATGTTGAATTCTAAGGCTAATAATGTGTATTATGCTTATAATATATGAAAAACTATTTATGAAAGAAATTTCTATTTATACCAATATATATCAGTTTTATTGTATGCATACAGTTACCATAGAAAGTATAGGGATTTAGACTTATTATTTTAGAGGCAGGACCTCTGAAGTGATAGTGAGATGATGATAAACCACTGGGATAGTGAAAGTAAATTATCTTCCAGCTGTTAAAATGTACTCAGCAAAATATTTTTTTAAACCTTTTTTTAATTGCAGTTTCCTAATCTGTGATACTGTTTGTGTCTGCTCCGGAAATATTTTGTTGAAATTCAAATTCTTAATGTCTAAGTTTAAAAAGGCAAGAAAAAATACATTATAACTTATAACTAAGATACAATTTAAACATGAATCATTTTTTTTCTCTCATGAAGAAGTTTGCTTTCTGGGCTTAGTACATTTTAATAGCTTCAGCTAAATAATTAAAACATGATAAAGGTTGATTTAGATTTTTTATAAAGTTGCACGAGTAGATTATAATAAATCTATGCAAGAAACAGTACATTATATACACTGGCATTGAACAAGGTTATTGTCGATGGGCCAGTTCAATTCATAAACAAAAACAAAACTTGTGCCCTTGGCTACCTGTTATACATTGTCTTATGATGAATCTCACTTGTGATACCAAGACTTTTCATCATGTGATGGACTCATTTTGCTCATACTTGAAGTCTCTCTCTTTCTTTCTTTCTCTCTATGTAAGCCTATGGGTGGATGAATGAATAGATGAGTGTATGTATGTATCTGTCATCGTAGTTTTCCGCAGGCGCTGCAACCGCGGCACAGTCACAGAAAAATTGATCAATTTCGCCTCGGAACTTCACCCGCTGTGTGGTCATGGAATTTTTATTTTTGCAGAATTTGGCAGAATTATTATGCTTTCAGGCGCAGAATTGTGAAAAAAATTCAATTGAACCGAGCTGACGACGTTAGAATGTTCTCATTGGAAGCCGAAAATTAGAGCATTCTTTGGGGGGGGGGGGAACAAACTTTTTCTAGGTTAGATTTTGACGGAATTTCAAGATCGCCTTTCTTTCTCAGCTTTCCAGATCGAACAAATTCTGACAGTTCAGAATTGTGCAGCATAATTGATAATTCAAAAGAAAAAGTTTGATCATGTAGCGCCAATCCTGAAAGGACTTCACTGGCTGCCCGTTATCGAAAGAATAGAGCACAAAAAGTTTGTGTAATCTGCTGCAAATGTGTCACGCTCTAACTGCCAACTCACTTGATTTTGAAATTGTACAGTGGTGTCTCATTTCTATGGGCCTGAAAGTTTCAAGCGTAGAATTGCAAAAAAAAATTCAACTGAACTTGCGACGTTAGAGTGATTTCCCTCTCTCTGGAAGCCGAAAATTAGAGCGTTTTTTTTGGGGGGGGGGGGGGGTGGTAAACCAACTTGATCTAGATCTAGATTCTAGATTAGCTCTTGACAGAATTTCAAGGTCACCTTTATTTCTCATCTTTCCCCATCAAACAAATTTTGACAATTCAGAATTGTGCAGCATAATAATTGATAGTTCAAAAGAAAAAGTTTGATCATGTAGCGCCAATCTTGATAAAGGCCTTCACTGGCTGCCTGTTATCAAAAGAATAGAGCGCAAAAAGTTTGTGTAATCTGCTACAAAATTTGTCAAGCTCGAACTGCCAGTTCACCTGGTTTTGAAATGATATGTAATGGTGTCTCATTTCTCTATGCAAGTATTATGTTATCAGTTTGTGTTTCTAAACAAAAATGCAGATAGGTTGTATTTTTGCTAATTGTTTGGGTTTTTGTGTGTGTCTCTAATGCTACTTCACAGCTTATGATTAATTGATGCTATTTTTTTCAAGCAGTATGGAAAAAGAAGTTTAGCCGTAGTCACAATCCTTGCAGAATGTGATCATTTTCAAATTTTTGGGGTAAAATTATGCACAGAATTTTTTAAATTTTTCATGCAGAAAACTACAATGACAGATGTGTGTGTGTATGGATGGGTGGATGTGTCTGTGAATATGGATGGATGAATGTATTTATTATGTATGTATGTGTGTGTGGATGGATGTATTATCATGTATGTGTGTGGTTGGATGAATGAGGCATATATGTGTGTGTCTTATGCTTGTGTGCGTGTGTTTGTTTAAATTTAAAATCAATAGAAATAATTCTCTCTCTCTCTCTCTCTCTCTCTCTCTCTCTCTCTCTCTCTCTCTCTCTCCCTCTCCCTCTTTCTGATCTCGTTTTCTTTTTATCTCTATTTCTCGTTCTATTTCTTTCACTTACTTTCTTTTCCCCTTTGTCTCTTTATTTCTTTCTCTTTTTCGCTTTAGCTCTTTCCCTCTCCCCCCCCCCCCCCCTCCTCTCTCTCTTTCAATTTTTTCCTCCCCTTCTCTCTTTTTCTTTTTCTATTTTTTTTACTCTCTATCTATCTATCTGGACTTTCTTTTTCTCTCTCCCTTTCTCTGAGTCTGAGCATTCCATTCCACAGAGCAACTGCAACAACCCACTTACTTAGTGGTTCAAAATTGTGCCATTGCCCTGTTTTACTTCACATCACACGTGCCTTTAAAAATACTATTTAAATAGCGACACACCGATCATCAAACGAATAGCCACGTCACGAACAACACAGCATGGCACTGAAGTCTAGAGCCACTAGAGGTCTACGGAAAGATAAGAAAACTGTCTTCTCTGTCTTTTGTAGTTTATGAATTTGACCTCATACTCGTACATTTAAACACCCGACCGGGTTTTTAATTTCTTTTTTTTTATAGCTGTAATACATTGTACTACAAAAATATACAAAAAGAAAAAATATGAAAGTTAGCCTAAAGCATAATCCCCTAAACATTCATGTCAATAACAAACAACTAAATAAGGTCAGTGAGGTTTGCTTTTTCCCCCCAGCATTTTCTTTTTCTTTCTGAAAACGGGTTCATAGGTAGAAACATAGAAAGGCGAACTCGAAAAACCAACACTGCCACCCTTTCTATCTCATCCGAACATCTCCGTGGACACAATGAGACAGCTTATCACTTTCTATCAGCGCCAGATCTAGACCTTAGCCTGTCCCCGTGGTTTTATGCACCCTCATAATTTAGTAAAATTTGATCATTTTTGCAGAATTTCTGATTATTTCCCGTTATCATTCCTTGTTAAAATTTAACAGAATCGCATAATTTCACTTTTTTGGGCTCAGTATAATTTCAGAATGTTTGTTGCATAAAATGACGGGGACAGCTTTGCCTTAAGTAAAACCCATGAAAACAAAATAATTGCATGCGAGATGAAAGTTAAAGTCTCCGCAAAACTCTAAACATCACAAAAAGAGACAGATATAGGCACAAAAGTTAAGAAGTAAAAGTAAAAGCAAATTATTTGCACGGAGTTCTGCCTGCATTTCACATAAGGAAAATAAAATAACATTTGAATGGTTTGGCCCTCTGATGTTAATTCCACTATATCCAGCCAGCCTCAAGAACCTATTACTATAACTATAATACCAAGACAGATTATAAATAGGAAGAGGTAATCCACACAAAAGATAGATTGTTGAGAGAAGCTACATGACGTAGGACCTATAACAATAATAACATCACAATTGAAAGCTCTGCAAATTTAGCCCACCACATAACTCCCCCCAACCTCCCCATGACACTTAACGGCAACAGATAATAAAAAGGATTAAGTAAATAGGCCTACTACAAAATAAATACAATTGAAAAATAGTAGAAATACGAATACGTAGTTCGCCCCAACCCTCTTGATTTAAACCCTGACAGTGACAGTGTCTGCTGTTTATCTCTCTGCTGCATGACAAACCTCTCACTCTGACGGGCTCGTCTGCGAGTCAATCAGCAGCAGAGTCCATTAACATTTTATCCTTTATGAATAAATAAAAGTAAATAGATAAACAAATAAGTAAACAGATAAATAAGTACATTTTAACCCCCCC